AGCAGCAGCCCCTCACATTCTTTCATAGATATATTTACGTTTCGGAGAACTTCTAATCCTCCTACAGTAAAACCAAACCAAAAGGAAGGGAAAAAAATTCGCCATAACAAAGATTAAGGAAAGCAAAGGAGAAGACCCACGGGTGTGGGGTCTGGGAGGGGAGGGGCGTGAGATCCGGGCGAAGGGTCCGGGGGGCTCGCCGGGGCTCGGCTCGGTCCGGATGCGCGCTGTGTCCGGGCGCTCCCCTCACATTGAGGAGGAGGCAGCCCCCACCCCCCCATCGCTCCCCCACCTTCTCTCCACCAGCACGGCTGTCTGCGAAGGCGCTGCAAAATCCAGGACTGGATTTCCCTCCCAAACCCTGGGCTGGATTCCCTGGAACTGGGACTCACCTACTCCAACACTCGAGCCCCCTCCCCAGCGCAGCACAGTCAGGGAGCGCGACTGTGGGGTGCGGCATTTAAGGACTAGGGTAAGAGTCAGTCTACGCGAGAACAGTCCACGGCGGAAACCGAGCACGTTCTGGGGAAGCTGATGCAGAAAAGCGGAGAACTCGGAAATGCCTTTCCCAGGACCCCTGGTCTCCCCCGGGCACTTGCATGTGCTCCTTCCCCATCACCCAGCCCCCTCGCCCACCTCCACCCGCACTCAGGCAATACATCCACGAGGCCACGTTTGGAACACAACTGTCCCAAAGTGAACTTGAAAAGTGCTCCCTGGGGACGCGGACAAACATGGAACTTAGCAGGATAGGAAGGAGGGGAGGGTGCCTCCTGCAGGGAGAGACCTGGGGGCTCGGAACAGCCCAGGCCGAAATGTGAGTCAAAGGCTGCAGCTGGAGGTGGAAGGAGAAGGAATATGTCTACAGATTGACACCCCCCCCCCCCATGCTAAAATGCATCCCGTCTCCATAGCAACCCCAGCTCCAAGAGTGCCTCAGAAACAGCGGGGATAAGCCGAGAGGAGGGATCCGCATACATGGTGGTGTGTGTGTGCGAGGGGGGGGGGGGGACGCCATGTGATTTGGGTTCATGGAGACACCACCCTCACAACTAGTTACCCACATGTGGGTTATTTAGCGCCCCCGAATTTAGGAGCCCCTCAGTTCCTGTAGCTCCCACTCTCTAGGGACCCTGCAGTGCAAGGCGCACTGTCCTCAAGCAGGGGAAGAAGGATCCAGGGGTTAGGCCCATGGGGAACCGAGATGGAGACCCCGCCACCACCAGGCTGGGGCGGGAGTCAGGTGAGGCCTCCCGCCAGCCTTGGAGAACCCACCCCTGGACTCGGGGAGTCTCAGCGTTCCCCTAATTTGGCGTCCCATCCTCCTGACGCAGCCGAGACTATAATAGTGCTGTCGTGGGCGGCTCTTGGAGGCAGGAGCCCGTGGCGTGCGCGGCCTGGTAGGGGTGGAGGGTGGGGGGCGGTACCGGGATGCTGGATACCCTTTGTTTCCCCCTAGACCTGTACCCAATCCCTCCGCGGGCCTGCCCCGAGATCCATCGGCAGCCTCCCCCACCCCGCCCTTGCAGCGTCAAGATGACACCATCCCTAGGACAGGAGACCCCTCAGTAGTCTTTTCTAGAAAAGACTGAAGGAGATTTGTTGATTCTGGCTTAATTTTTTTTTTTCCTTCCACCGGTGGCCTCAGTTTTCCTTATATTCAAAGGGAACAGAATCCTGACTCCCGGGGAGAGTGGAACAAATCACTTAGGAAGAGTGGAGTCTTCTCAGAGGTTCCAGCCTCTACCCCCTCCTCACTCCCTCCTTCTCCAGAGCTGAGCAGAGGCCTCTACCTGCCCTAGACATGTCCTCCTCCCCCCTTTTTTCCTACATGAATGGGGCTTGGAGTTCCTCCCTAGGAGGCCCCATGGGGCCACTCCCCCTAGGCCTGCCTTTCCAACAATGAATGCTGTAGGGAAGGTGTCAGCTGTAGTTCTTGGCAAAGGGTGGGGGACAGGATAGGGAGGGTGTTATCAGACTGTTCCCTTAGGAACCCGAACCAAACTGTTCCTTCCCCAAGCTGGGCTCTGGTGGCCTTTCCCATCAGAGAGATCTGGCAGGAGGTCTCCTTTACTGCCCCCATCTGCCACCCCCAAGTAGGCGGCTAAAAATGGAGAGGCTGGAAGAGACCAGGATATGGAGGATGTGCTTCTCCCAGACACCTTTCATGAGCAAAGGAGCCTGCTTTTGTTAGCTCTCTGCCACCTCAGAGGTAATGAGAGGAGAACAGTCCGGAGGGACCTCCAGTTCCATCAGTTCCTTAGTGGTGGTGCCTCATGGATGGATGAGCCCTTCCTGCCAGGGCCCCACCACTTCGTTGAAGCTGGGGTGGGCAGGAGGATGTGGCGGATGGTGTTGCCATGGCAGCACTTCCTTCCTGTATTGTCATCACTTGTGCTAATGGCACTAAGAAGGTAGAGCGGAAGGTGTGTGGGGGGAAGACAGGAACAGGAGCATGGGGAAGAGAGGGGGCCAAGAAGAGTCCTGGGGGACTTCTCTGCACTTCGGCTGTGCAGAGCATGCTGCGTGAGTGTTCGTGTGTGCCTGGGAACCTGAGATTCTCCGGATGGTCATTTGAATGTGTGTACGCATTTGTGTGTGTGTTTCTCTGTACAGCTGGAGAACAAGAGGTCACTGATCCCTCGTGGGTCCTGGGAATGAACACATTATCCAGTCCCAGAACCTCCTGCCCCAGACTGCTTCCTGCCCCGGATTCCCCAGGCAGGGTCCAAGCCTACCCCATGCTCACCCACTTCTCCCTTTCCAAGAAGGTCAGCTCAGCAGTGACCTGTACTTTGATCCCCTAGGACAGTGGTTCTCAACCTTCTGGCCCTTTAAATACAGTTCCTCATGTTGTGACCCAACCATAAAATTATTTTCGTTGCTACTTCATAACCGCAATGTTGCTACTGTTATGAATCGTAATGGAAATATCTGATATGCAGGATGGTCTTAGGCGACCCCTGTGAAAGGGTCGTTCGACCACCAAAGGGGTCGCGACCCACAGGTTGAGAACCACTACCCTAGGAGAAGGCTCAGAGTTGGGGAAAGAGGAAGAATGACACCTCCCATGTCCTTTTCCATCTTTTCCAAATGTATTCTTCCCCTAAATCCCAGCTCCACCTCGGGGACTACTAGGAGTGGCTTACTGGGAAATGATGTATGACCCAGTAAACCCTTCTATGCCCCTTCTGCTCCCCGATACCCCCAAGTGGGAGCTAACCCTTCTCTTACCTTGTATGCTGTTCAGTGAGGCCCGGATGCTGTCACGAAGTTCCGAGTCACCCACCCTCTCTGTCAGTTTCCTGAGGCGGCTTAGAGCCTGCTTGGCTACCTCATGTCGTTTGACTTCTGCTCTCACTGCAGCTATAGCCAGCTGCCTTTGGGCGTGCATGTTACCCAAACCTGCCCTGCCAGGCTAACAGCAACCTCTGGCCCTGAAGCCCATGGCCCCCCAGCCCCCAAACTCCAGCAGGCCCCTTCTGCTGTGCCCCAGAACTCCCCGCCCCTGCCCGCCCTTCCGTCTGTCGGCCTCACTTCCTGACTGGTGAGTTTCAAACCCACAGCCTGGGTCAGCACTACCTCCTGCACCTCCCACTCCCTCTAGTGTTGGCCCATCAGCTCTGCCAGCCAGCCTCTGCTAAGATTCCCCTGACAGGTGGATGGAGAAACCTTAATAAGCATCCAAGCATCCTAGGGCCTCCTGTGGGAGGAGGCTAATTAAGATGGGTGTTGGTGCTGGGAGAATGTGGCAAGCCAGGTCCCAGGTGCAATCCTAAACTCTTGGTGACCTACAGATTTGTGTTCAGTCTCAAGCTCGCAGGAATCCATACACACTTGGCCTGTCACTCTTAGAGCCCTGCATTCCAGTTTATAGTTGTAATCACCACCCACTCTACACATCTAAAGAGCTTACATCCTTACCTCTTGCAATGTAACCCTTCCTCAGCCAGCTACCCCACTGCACCCACCTCCTGGTTAAAAGGGTCAAGGGGTCAAGCAGTTATGGGGAGAATAGGTTATGGAGAAGGACAGTAACCTATAACCAGGCAAAACCACCGTGCTCCATGTTCAATTATTTCCTTAATAATTAACTTGTCTATAACACAATAGTTAACAACACACCTTCCTATATATCATCTTCATGACAGGCCCAAGGGGTAGGATTATTATTCAGCAAAGAAAACTGAAGCTCAGAGAGGCCAATAGAAAGTGAAACAAATTGATGGCTCTAGGTCTTCTAATTCTGATACCTTTTCACCACACCAATTGGTTGGCTGCTTGCCAACCAGCCCCCCTTAACCCTAATGCCATTGTCTTGCTCTTGATTTAGGACCAGAAAAAGAAGAGGCTAGATGCGAAATTCAAGAACAGAACAAAGATGCAGGGAGGATGAGGGGAGAAATGGTGGATGGTTTGATCTAATTACTTTGTTTCAAGACTCCAACTTTTCTGGCCCTGCCAAATGTCTGTTCTTCTGCATATCTTCATGATATCAATATATAAAAGATAGGGGATTGTAACTATATGAATATTTCTGTAGCTGGAGATAAGGAAACTGAGGTTGAGATTACCCACTGGAAACTATAAAATTGTCTGAACAATAACTTACACTTAGCCCTAGCTGGTTTGGCTCAATGGATAGAGCTTCAGTCTTCGGACTGAAGGGTCCCAGGTTCGATTTCGGCCAAGGGCACATGCCTGTGTTGCCGGCTCAGTCCTCAGTAGGGGGCGTGCAGAAGGCAGCCGATCAATGATTCTCTCTCATCATTGATATTTCTATCTCTCTCTCCCTCTCCCTTCCTCTCTAAAATCAATAAAATATATATTTAAAAAAAATAACATACTTAGTATTTACTATGTGTCAGGTAGTGTTCCAAGTATTTTACATATATTAACTCATTCAGTCCTCACAACAATTCAAGAGGTAGGTGTATTGTTATTTATCCCCATTTCACAGATGAGGAAACAGGCACAGAAAGCTTAACTAACTGGCCAAAGATTGCACAGTGGCTGGGAAATTGGAACCATGCAGTCTGCTGGCAATAAGACCACATACTGCTTCTGCAGTCATTGAATCCCAGTACACACATACTTGAATCGTTCTGTGGGGTTGAAAGGAGGTTTTTCATTTGTATTCCTTCTAAGACTGCTTCTTCCTCTTTTCCCATAAAATGGCACCGTGTCCAAGCACTTGTTCTATAATAAACATGTTGACCAACCAACCACTGTGCCCACCCCGGAGTGAAAATGTGTGACTGTTCCTTACTCTCAGATTTATTCATATTCCAGACCCCTCCCTTCGTCATTTTTTGCAAGCTCTGGACCAGGCATGTGCTCTGAAGGCATCAGGCACACCCATGCCTGTGGTTTTGTCACAGACAGTAATGCACTGACCAAGGCTGCTGTTTTACACACTTAATATCGGGTATATTCACACCCGTTAGGGAGGGATATGGAACAGGACAATGTGTACTAGTGGACATGCTTGCAAATGTGTAAGGGTTTGCTGGGTGTTGCTGTGCCCAAACCGGGACCTCTGTGGTTGGGCTAAACACTGTTCCGAGTGTGATGCAATAACAACAAACAATGGCATCATCATGAGGTCACCGCAGGACAAGGGAGGAGCCCTTTCGCCTAGCCCCGGCAGCCCTGTCTTCTCTCTCTTCGCCGGAGTTTCTCCAAAGCCTCCTCTCCGGGATTAGCCTCTTCCGACTGCGACGAAGGAAAGCTTCACTTTCAATCCGGGGTTTCCAAGTTCAGGCTCCGATCTCCAGGAGAATTTCTGCAAGCCCTGCCTCCACTCTTAAGTTTCACTCTATAAAGAACCTAAAGGAGGGGCCGGGAGGCGGGTCAGTAACGCAACGCAGGTTGATTGGCATTCAGGCCGACGACGTCCCGTTTTAGCCCGGAGTTTCTCCAATCCAGAGGCAGGGGTGGGGCGGTGCAGGCGCAGAGAGCTGGGTTTAGGTGGACTAGATTTAAAGAGACAGAAGCTGTCGGGGTCCGGGAAGACTGCCCCTAAGACCCTCTCCCTAAGTCCTTGGGACCACTTGGGTCCCCAAAGCTGGGGAGATGGTTTGCGGTGGCTTTGCCTGCTCCAAGAATGCGCTGTGCGCGCTCAACGTGGTCTACATGGTGAGGTTTTGGAGGTGGGGAAAGCTTCAAGGCGGAGAGGCGAGTGGGGAGATTATTCAGGGGACTTCCGGTGGGTAGAGGGGTGTCCTGGGTGTTCCAGGAAGATTCCCAGGAACTTCCGGCGAAGAGGGAATTCCTGGGGACTTCCGTGGGTAGAGGGGAGACTTCCGGTGATCGGAGGGTTTGTTTGGGGGTGGGGGGAATGAACTAGGGGCTGTGGGAACAAAGGCCTCTCCCTCCTTTTTGTGAACTTTAGTTTCTCCCAAAATAGAAGTGATGGATGAAGCTAAAGGTTCGGTTTTTATATTCATAGATGACTATCCTGCAGCCCCCCACCCCCACCCCTCCCAGACATTCTGACCTCCCAGGGAAGGAGCGCCCAGGGATGTTACAGATTCCCACAGCACCTCCTCTCCTTGTAGTCCCGGGTGCCCTGTAAGGCCTCAGGCTGTGCTGCACGCTAGATTTCTGACGTGTGTCCTGCGTTCTGTTTCCCCTAGCTGGTAGGCTTACTGCTCATCGGAGTGGCTGCTTGGGGAAAGGGCCTGGGTCTGGTGTCCAGCATCCACATCATCGGAGGAGTCATTGCTGTGGGGGTCTTCCTCCTGCTCATCGCAGTGGCTGGACTGGTGGGTGCCATTAACCACCACCAAGTACTGCTGTTCTTTGTATCCTGACCCAGGTGATGGGCACTGTAGAACTCTTGGGAGGGCTGAATGGGCTAGGAAGAAACTAGACCTCAGGGATTTGGGGGGACATCTCTGCTCTGCTCTATGAAACCGGGGCTGATGATTTTATTTCTTTCAACGGGCATGGTTAAGTTCTATGAATAGATGAGATCAGATGATTGTTAGAGGTGGACCATAAAGGAATCTAGGACTTTTTTCCCATAACTCTTCCTCTCAGTACATGATCATCCTTGGTTTGGTCTTCGTCTTCCAGTTTGGAATCTCTTGGTCATGCCTAGCCATTAACCGAAGCAAACAGGTAAGGGGATACCCTTTCAAATACTTGCATTTTTCTCTAACCTCTAACTCCCTAACAGTCTTGCCCCAAAGATCATTCTTAGATCACTTCCAGACTCAAGCCATTTGCTTCCCTAGGATGTCTGGCTAATTTTCCATGACGATCTAAGACAGTGGTTCTCAACCTTCCTAATGCTGCGACCCTTTAATACAGTTCCTCATGTTGTGGTGACCCCCAATTTCATTGTTACAAATTGAACATAAAGCATAGTGATTAATCACAAAAACAATATGTAAGTATGTATGTGTTTTCCAATGGTCTTAGGCAACCCCTGTGAAAGGGTCGTTCAACCCCCAAAAGGGGTCGTGACCCACAGGCTGAGAACGGCTGATCTAAGACAACTTTAGTGGATATATTTGTGATACACTCCCCCCCAGGGATGTTGACTTCCTTTGCTGGAGTAGAGAAATTGAGGCACTTGAACTGAGATCAAAATGTAGGGAGATTCTTAGGGTTAGCAGCATCAAGTAATTTCCCTCTGCCTATATATCCTCCAGACAGATGTCATCAATGCTTCTTGGTGGGTCATGAGCAACCAGACCCGGGATGAACTGGACCCGGGATGAACTGGAAAGAAGTTTTGATTGTTGTGGCTTATTCAACCTCACAACCCTGTATCAACAAGATTATGCCTTTTGCACTGCAGTGAGTTGGCGGGGAAGGGTGGGTAGGTAAATTGGGGAAGGACAGTGCCTAAAATGGTAGGTTTTAGTTTGAATAGGATTGCCTCTCTAGCAGCTCTCTTGTATTGGGGCTGTGTGCTGCTGTGTTAAGAGTGGGGATGGATCAAAAGCTATAAAGAACTAGCTAAATGGGATTTCAATCTGTAAGATACTGATCAAAACTAGTAAATTTCTAGGGTCATTTATCATAGGTGTCGGGACAGGGCATCTTAGCAACTATGCATCCTCCACACACGTTTTATCCTAGGTCTGCAAGAGCCGGAGACCCACATGCCAGATGTGTGGAGAAAAGTTTCTTAAACATTCAGACAAAGCCCTAAAAATCCTGGGGGGTGTTGGACTCTTCTTCAGCTTTACAGAGGTAACATTCTCCAGTTCTCTCATATGCACCCTTTCTCTACATCTGTCAGTCAGTCCCAGAGATTAAGAATTGGTGCTTATCCTTTTCCCTTTGCTTCTACAGATCCTTGGTGTCTGGCTCGCAATGAGATTTCGGAATCAGAAGGATCCTCGAGCCAACCCCAGTGCCTTTCTATGAGACTCTGGATCCTTTTGACTTCTCTCCTGCTCTCCCTAAGCTTTTTCTTCCTCCCG